AGATGTGTACTGAATCACGCAGCAGCCCATACCACATAGCGTTCATGCACATGTATGTGTAGATCAACACCAAGCAGCAGGTCACACGCTGTTTACGGGTGAAGCGAGACTGTAGAGGGCGGTCTATCACCGAAAGCCACAGATGTTGATTGGCTAATTGACGCTTACTTTCAAATTGGAATATGGTAGAGAATTTTTTCAATTGCTCTTTACCTAAAAAAAGAGAATGGTTGAGTTAATGTTGACTTGAAATGTTTAGTTTCAATTAGGCCTTTAATAAATGGTTGGTTGATTACCAATCGACTATTAAATAACTTGGCTTTATATATTCAACTTTAGGACCAAGAATCAGGATGTTAGTTTTATACTAAAAAACTGTTATTTGATAATTATTTTGTAAATAATTTAAAATAATTTCTATATAATTTATATTTCTCATGTATATTATGTATGTAGTGTAGGTTTTTTTCTCATAATGTTGTCAGGAACAGCTGAACTTAATGGGCCACAAGTTTGATTTGGATCAAATGAAATTAAATCTAATACAACATACCAAGGACCTCAAAAGTCTTGTCAACAGCGCCACCATCTTGCAATAATGACAGCCATGTCTCGCATAAAAAATGAAACTTGCGGTCTGTCTGAACGTCTACGACAAGAATCGTGGCTAGATACCACGAAGGATCCAAACCAGTATTGTCATGCCAGACTCGAACCTTCTGCACTTCTTCCAGATTACATTCAGAATAGATACGAAAGGCTGCCCTCGTGTTGCGTGTGAATGCACTTTTTGAGTTTAAGTGGCGGGAACCTGTTTTACCGTTGGATCCATAAATGCTGATCCCAATGTGTGCAGTTGTACCTAAGAAATTAACAATGTGTAATAGCAATGATTTGCTGGTAGAAGAGAAATTCTGATTTTAAATGCCAAAAGATTTTCTTTTAAATTTAAAGTTTAAATCTTTTGTTATTACACTACCAAACAATTACATTTTGTAAAGCTTTTTACAGAATTAGTGGACAATATGGTGCATCTTCAGCCAAGTTCCAATGGACAAGTCGTTAAATTACAGAATGGCAATACTGACTTTAGTATCGTCCCTGATGACATAATTAATGTTGAAATATTGAATCCTAACACGATGGCGTGTATTTCAATACTTGGAGTATGTATTATACTTTCTTATCTGAGACTTTTGTAGTACAATCACAATTCAGTGTAATTACAATATTTCATAATTTCATGACTTGCCACCATGTTCATGGGTGTATTGCAAAGTATCACACATACAGTATGCAAATCAATTTTTAATGTAGCAAATTAAAAATGAACTAAAAAAACAATCAAATAAATATTTCCCATTCCATACCTCAGCAGCTCTGAGGGAGAAACAGGAATAAAAAATTTTACCTGCACCAAGCCTTTCTCCAGTTTTTACATAGATCTCATAGCAATAAGCACCATTCCTCCCACAAATGGGAACCATGCTAATGAACTGTAGGTCACAGCGGTCATAGTACCATGCCACACCCATTGCAATCACATACAGAAAAAGTATTATACAGCATACAATCAAAGCAACTGGATTTGATTGGATATCCAATTCCTGAAAAATCCAGTAAAATTTGCCGTGAGTATTCTGCCCTCCTCTGAGAAAAGGCAAGTAACAAAATGATAGAGTTTTGAGTAAATGAGCAAAACATGTTTGTGTTTTTCCAAAGAAAAGTACAAATGATTTCAAATTTTTCAAACTATGGTTTTTGTCCAGATTAACAAACTTTATTTGACAAAACCAGTTTTCTGCCCATATATAGTCATTATGTGCCTAAATATGGTCATAGGCATGTCACATGTTTTTGTCAAATAAAATTCCATAATCTAGACAGGGCTTAATACCTTTAAATCAGTAAATTTAATGTCACTTGGAACGACCAGCGAGCCTGCTCCAAAGCTTGTCAGATGGTTGCAGGCACACGTTGCTACCTGCTTTGTGGAACCTGTTAGAGCCTGACATCCATACTCACTCCAGGACTCCAGTTGTGTGTCATAATACTGGCATGACTGCTGGAACATACTCACAGAGATGTTGGCAATGAAGTTGTAGTTGTTGATAGCTGTGAGGTAATGAGCCATGATGGGACTAGAAAATCTGCAGTTTGAAATACAGTTAAGATTAGAATTGTAAACGAACATAGAAGACAATCAACGAAGGAAATTCATTTCATACTAATGAATATTTACCACAGAATTTTACTACTACCATGGCTACCTCAAGGAGCCATGGTATTGGTAAAAACTAGTAAGATGAGAATAGTGTGTTATAGACATGGATCGCAATTAACATTAAAATAAGATTAATTTGATAGACCCATAGAGTTGTTTTTAATTATTTATTAATTTTTTTTAAATTTTTTTTTGGGGCGGGGGGAGGTGTGTTGGAGGAGTTGAGGGGATTAGCAATTAGCATAAGCCTCACACAGTAACATGTTTTTTTTTATAGAAGATCAGTTTTGTTGAATAAAAATATATTGGATTTCATTGAATAAAAAATAAATTGAATTTTGCATCTGTAAACTTACTCATTTTTAATTAAGAAGATGTATTTTGTTGATGCCACTTCTGAGCTGCCTGAGAAAGTCAAATTAACAGCATTGAGACATGTTGATAAGTTTGGCTTCTCCTCCAGGCCCAACATCAAAGATATGAAGCCATAACTGCCACTCCAAGAGTAAGTTGTTAACAGAACTTCTACATAAGAGGATAAGTCGCTGACATCTGAATCATAATCCATTGTTACGTACGTTGTCTCCCCTGGGTTCACCTGCTGACTGGAATTTAGCTGCTGTAGTACATCAAAATTTGTCTGGGGCAACCCAAGAACAATCATTTGGTTCTGGTCTAAGTTCCCAATGCTGATCTTTGTTCCATTGGAATACTTGTACTCTAGCTGTGATACCTTTGTTGTGATGGCACCAACTGCAAGACTATGCCATGTGTATGGATTTTGCTCATAAATAAATAACTCTTCAAGGATTTCTACATTCTGGGGAAGTTCTTTAAAAAGGTTATGTGGAACTGTAAAGTATGTTTCTGAATCGTTAAGTGTAGTGGAGATTTCTCCAGGATAAGTTCTCTGTGCAGCCACTGTGATAGTCCCTGAGGTTAACCTTAAGGTTTCCTCATGAACTAACTGAGCAGACATCAATGAATCCAACAATACTTCTGTGTCAGTCAGTAAATTATTGATGGCAACCATTTGGAATTTTGGATCAAGAGAACCATTTAAAACCACTTGCTGAGAGGCATGCTGATTAAGTGATGTCATTGTGTTAGAGATGATCATTAGGATTGCATTACTGGTAACATCATTAGTGTTTAAACCTTCAGCTCCCAATGTAGTTAGAACACTAAGGATGTCATCTAGAGAGCTTAAGATCTGGGTATAGGTTTCTTCATGTACAATTTCATCTGGAACAGCCTACAAAAGTGAGAATAGACAAATATAAATATCACGCCCACATCCAACAGTACACTACCACAATATTTACACTAAAGAGATGGCACAGATTGCTGAGATGTCTTGACAAGATTCTTTACTTTCCGTTAGTGTCTTACATTGGTGTAGTGCAATATACAAAAGGCTCAAATTATTATTATTGATCACAACTCTGCAAGTATACAAGAGAAAGAAGAAAAAAGGGGATAGGTGGGAATTAAGATAGAGAGGAAGGCTAATAAAAGAAGAGAAATGTTTGAGGAAACATTTTCAGCACCTACCGTAACTATAGCAAGTGTTGTTGATATGTGGCTCATATCTTCACTACTGACACATTGACAAGATGCAACACTACTGACAATGTCTGCTCGAAGGCTTACACAGGCCTCGATTTCATCACTCGCTGTAGAAAAAGAAAAAAAGTGAGTCGTGAGACACATGGTGTAATTTAGTTTTCATTCCAGGCATTATTTTTTTATAAAAAGAAGCTCTTATATATGCAATTAATTGTAGTGTAAACACAATATGCTTGTCCTTGTTGAATAACTACTGTACATACTCTGAACTGGGTCTTTGGGGATATGCGACATGTAGAAAATCTGGCCATGTTGTTCTAACCAATAGCATAAACGTCTACCAACATAACAGAATACTGTAGACATGTGACAAAGATCTTTATGCTTTTGCACACACACGGTGGTTACGATCAGTGGCGTAACAACCAGTCAAAGAGGCTGGGGGATGACCTGAAGGCTTATGCATTTCTGTAGTAAAGTTTCCTCTCACAAAGTGGCCGAGGGATCTGGTATTCAAGTAAATTCTTTTTATGAATATTAATGTTAAAAAGACTGCATTTAAATTAAACTGTTCCATTTTTTTCGAAGGGGTGTTCCGTTTTGGGAACAATGGCAATTAGTCGGTTATCCAGGTAAGTATTCACGAAATAGACTGTGTGACAGTTAAACCATAGAATCAACTCTGTAGTAGAGTTCTTGTATTAGTAGAAAAGTCTTTGCAGCCGTCCCAGCGCCACTTTGTATAGGATGCCTGGGGCTTCGGCCCTTGAGAGCCATAGTCATTAAGCCACTGTGTGCTATGGTGCTCTGCAAATAATTATAAAAATTTTAAACATTAAAAACCTAACAAAAAAATAAATTATTCTGAGACAATCTAGATCCAGAAAGACAGAGAAACACAATTCACAACAAAATAAAAAACGTTTTTTTGTTGTTAATCATAGATAAAAGAAATTAAGATAAGGGGCTTTCAAATACAAACAAAAATAATTGATAACAATTAAAATCAAATGTATCAAAAACATTAATATTGTATGAGCCAACAAAATAAAGGTTGCCAAACCTCGAGGTTCTTCATTGAGTACTGAGGCCATGCTGGTTGCGTAGTCAAGCATCCGTTGTGGATCACCAGCCCCCTGGAGAGACTGCAACTGGGGTTTTCCATACATGGTCATCCACTCCACTACCGTAGTTGTATCTTGCAATTCAGGTTTGGAGACATTTAGAGATCTACAAGTAATGAAAAACATGAAACTATAAATAATATATCTACTGCACAGAAACTGTTTTTCTATACAAGTTTAAAGTTCATCATATTCGTCATATATAGCAATGACTCAAATACATGAAATTTGCTGTTCCTGTCAATGTAATAAAAATATTAAAATACAAAAATACATAACACAGATTGCACAGAATTCAACTGGAATAATGTAATAAATACACCTGTTTGAAAACCTATTTTAAAAGTACTGTAGACCCCAGCTTCCTAAGCTTTTTTCTCAGGGACCCACACTAGCTGCGACCCATAATTTGTGATCGGCTCTGGTAAAAACCTCTGTCTGTAAGTAAAATTAAAATTGGGTTTTTGGTGTTTTTAGATTCTGCAAGTAGTCTTCTTTAAAACAGTGTATATTTGATGGAAATTGGTTGAGTAACAAAGTTAAGAATATTTATTTCACTGGATAACAGCTATGTAGGTTTTGAGAAAACATCTTCCAAAGACTCCAAAATCAATAGTTTATTATTATAATTTTTATTTTAAAAATTTTAATATACTTTTCAGTTATATTTAGTGATTGATATTTTACAGAAATGTTCTTCAACATATCTTCTGTTATAAAATGCAAAAACATGAAAATATTAAAAATTCTGATTCTCAAACGTGTTGGGTGCTTGTGGGAAATTAGAAGATGGACATGCCAGAGCCGGTCATATTTGATAGTAAGTTGCACACCAAATGTTTTAAGATCCCGAAATTTGATGCTTCACGTTTTAAAAATAACTACTCTACATTGGTATTACATTAATTTTTTATCAGTGGTGGTCCAGGAATTAATAAATGGGGTCTTTTAAGGACGGTATAACCACCTCAGCCCTGTCATAATTTTAATCCACCACTCATAACCATCCCTTTTCACCATGAATTAACACATGAATTGACAATCTGTCGTCTTTTTCAAATAGTTTTTAGCAAACCTACTCACAATCCAACTCAAAAACTCACTTTTGGGCCGCGACCCATAGTTTAGGAAGCGTGGCTCTAGACAGATATGTTTAAGGATATTGTATTATTTTCCATTGGGATTGGAACCCAAAATTATTTGATTAATGTATGCAAGCTCTACAACAGAGCAACTGAGTATTGAGGCCAAACTGGTATACACATTTGGATTTTTCCATTATAAAGACACACTTTTACTCAAGATACAGTATTATGCAATGAAGAATGATATTCACGTATAGTAACTTCAGTATGGAGAAAAAATTCCACCATTGATTAAAACAAAAGATGATAATAAACTGAACTAACAAAGATAATGCCTCAATTTCCGCTCCTTGAGAATCTTGTACTTTTACGAGAAGTTTCAATGTTTCTGCTCCTTGATTCCCTCCCAAAGGAAGGTAAGTCTGATAGCTTTCTCGAGATCCATGGTACAGCAGTGTGCTTCCCACTCCGCCATTACTCTCTCCAAGATCCGTAATCTGCATTATGTATAGTAATGGAGCAGATGGTAAATCTGGATCAAACCAGTCTTTACAGGCTATAGTTGCAAGTGTTTTCATTGCAACTGATTCCAAAGGAGTTACAGAGCAGCTTCCACCAGTAGGAGGTGTGTTTACTGCGTACCATACCTCGGCTAAGCCAGGTTGGTCAAAATTGCTGCTATTAACAGTCAGTCTGAAAGTGTAAGACCTGCTGATTCTAAGTGTTCCTGCCTTGACAACCAAGTTGCTTGTGGAATCTCCGGTGGTTGTAGAGATCTTGTTGAGCTGGATAATTGTTCCATCATCCTGAATGGCAGTCCACTTCAAAGTATAACTATGATCAGCACAATTCATGCAGGAACCAGTTAACTCAAGTCTTTGTGAAGCACTAATGGTTGTAGATAACGATAACTGGCACGAGAGGCAAGTTATCTGGACATCAGGTATTCTGCCATCAACAACTTCAACCTATAACAAAAAAGGCACTCACTCCTGAATGAAAAGTTTTAAAAATGTCTTGACATGTATTCATAGATTTTTTTGACATCAGTGGGTGTAACCCCTGGACAGCAAGTCACTAACACATAGTAGGCATTTGCTATAATCATTTTTAGTTTTTATTGCTTATGAAATTGTTTTTTAACAGACTAAATATTAACAATGAGTTTATTCTGTTGTCAATTGAGTTATAGCTTGATGGTTAAATATGTCTTCCACATGTTGAGACCCAGATCAAAAGCAATAGCCGACAAAAAGGCTAAATTTAAACATTGCAAGCATTAGGAATACTTACAGTTTGATTAGTTACACTTTCTCTGTTGCCTTTAGTAACTGTTAGAATGAAGACATACATGTTTGAGGGATACAGTTTAGCAAGTGCTTTGTCACCATTAAGATCTCCCTGGATACAGATGGGGTTTGGTACTGGTAAGGCATCAGCAACAACACGTCCATCAGTTTCCTCCTGAAAATTGTTTAAATGCAAATGTTCAATCAATGTGCAGTAGCGGTAACACACATGAGCATTGATCCTTTTGTGGATAATAAAAAATTTAAAATTCTGTCCTTTCTTTTAGATGATGCATCAATGTTTATTACACTTATAATAAACATCATTCAACACAAATTTAAAGAATGATAACAACAAAAAAATACACTTTGGTTGACAAGGTGTGAGGGGACTGCCTATAAGTAGTACAAACATGGGCTCTTCTCACATGCTGACCTGCCTTTTCATAGTAATATTTAATCAATCATCAGATTGAAGAAGCAAGAGCTCGCAAAAATTGTCATGAAAAAAATAATGATCAAATGACTGATAACTATTAGACCACAAAATCAATGAGACTCGGAATGTGTGATTAATGATAAAAACAAATTAATTTTGTTTACCGCACTTTAGTATCGCATTACACTATGGAAATATTTAAGTTACTATAGTACAATGTGCAAACAATAAACTTACAACATATGCAGATGCAGTACATTCCCACCGAAACTGTAATCCAGTCTTTTGATCATCTACCAAATCTGGATCAATAGAGTCGCTACCATCCAGTAAGAGATCCTCTTGTGAAGATGCAAGTCGTAGATTTCCACCACTGATGAGTGCAATAAGAGGTGTTGCAATAACATTAACAAGTGACCTTGCAATGTTTACTGATGGAATCCCTTCAAAGTTGACACTCAATTGAAAGCAGTAACTGCCATATTCCAAGGTGTTACTAGGTATCGAAAGTGATGGTAGAGATGTCTCAATTGCCAATTGTAGAGCTAATTGTTCTGATGGTAAAGCACTGCACGACTCAGTTTTGTACACTGTCCAATTATATACAGTGTACAGAGGTGTATATGTACACAACTCCTCAATGATGTTATATTCCAAGAGTAAACTATGTGACCTGTACACCTCATCTGGTGTTGATGGCAAAGGTAGGAGTTCGGGCAATTTGCACATAATCACTGTGACATTTACACTAGTAGATGCACTGCTGACTTCATTCTGACATACAACTGTTATTTGATGCAGACCATCTTCCTTGTATGTTACATTCTGAACTGATAAAGTGGAATTAAAATCATCTAGGCCACCGTTAAACTTCCAGATGTATAAAATATCAGCGCCGGTGCCTCCTTCTGTTGTCACTGCCACTGTAAAAGAGTGATTCACTAATATGCTGTCTGCATCTGTTACTAACCAGGCATTGGTTATTTTCTCTATAGCATGGACAGACTCAGAAGCTTTACCAAGGCTAATAGCATTCCGAGCTTCAACTTCAACCAAGAATGATCCTGCAACTGGATAACTATAATTAGCAGTGTCTCCGTAGGCAACTGTTTCATATGTACTATCAACAGCAAAGCGCCATCTGTAGACAACATTAGCCCCAGTAACAACACTAGCTTGATAAAACTGTGTAGTATTTACAGGTACTGGGTTAGTGCAACAGTCTGTGATTCTTAGTCCAGATATTGGTTCCATATAAAGACTGAGAACTCTCACCAGATCAATGGTGTCTAAGTTATTAGTGACAGTGAGTGTTACAGTATAGTTCCCTGGGGTAGTAATACTGACAGCAAACAATGTCTCCTTCCTTGTTGAAGAATCGATAAAGCTGTGAATTATATCACCTGTTTCATTAGCTACAGTCCAAGTAAACTTAGCATTTGATCCAGATTCTAGAGATGCTTCAAGAACAATCTCGGTGCCAACCTCAGCTGTCCAGTTACTGGTGATCCACTGAAGATTTCTAAGTCTCTCCACAACAATGATTGTCTTTGATGCAGTAACACTACTAAACAGGTCACTTACAATTAGTTCAATGGTGTAGTTTCCAGTCTGGGGAAAGACATATTCAAAGGAACTTTCTGTGAAAGTACTGCTTTCTAACATCCATGAGTAAGCAAGATTAGAGCCCTTTGAAACATATGCCGATATAGTTATAGTTTCATTCTGTGGCACAAATCCTAAAGTAGAGTTTTCAATAAGTAGCTCTACATCAGACACAGCATCAATTGCTGTTATATGTAGAAATGTATTTTCCTCATGGAATTTTTCATGATTGCTTGCACTAACTGTGATTAAATATTTGCCTGGTTTCTGGTAACTGTACAGATAGAAACTACTGCTGACAAAAAACACATCAGAGTTAGTGAAACCCCAGATATACTCAATATCCGTCCCACTATCAACAGTTGTTGTAAAATTGATCAATTGGTGAGTAGGAATTACTGGGCTGGTTGCTATATCCACTTGTAACTGCAAGTTGCTTATCTCCTCTACGCTTTTAACAGAAATTTTCTTTGAAACTGTACACCCGCTGATCAATACAGTCACCTGCACATTGTACACACCTGTATTCCTGAAGGAGTATGAGATATTCATACCTGTTTTAATGTCAGGTGATAGGGATCCATATTCAAATTTCCATTCAATTTCATCAGGCTCCACACCTGTTGTCTTGCAATGAAATTTATATGTTTGATCAAGCTTGGCATAATAATTATCCTCCATATCAGAGAAAGTCTCTAATTTTATTACATAAATAGAAATGTCTACTTTTTCTTTACTGATACCATTACGTGCTTCTAATAAGATCTTATATGTCCCAGGTTCATCATATGAATGGAAAACCACTGAAGGCATGTTCTTTTCGATACAAGTCTCACAAAATCTCCAAAAATATTGCACATTATTCCCTGAAGAGTGAACTGCTTCTAATCGGGCAACCTCATTGGCTGCCATGGTCGTCGAGTTGCTAATGATATGAAGATCCAAAATGGCCACCTGGGCCTCTATACAAAAGTGTTGACTTAAGCTACTAAACAAGTCTGACACAGAAACATTTAAACAAAATATTCCTGTATTTGGAAAGGTAACAGTAAAATCTTTGGTATCAGCTGCTAAAATTGTAAAATCACATGTCCAATGAAAACTTGAGGGAGTTCCATGCAATACGTCAGCTGCAAATGTGGATGGACTTTCAAGCGAGCAAAATATTCCAGCTGTATCGTTAACACAATCATGTTGCACTCTAAGGACCTCAAGCCTTTCAACAATTGAAACATTTGAAAAAATTTGAACTTCGTTAAAAAAATTATGTATAAAAACATCCATAGTGAATGTTCCCGCTTCCAAAAATGTATGATTAAATGACACTGCGGGAGCAAAAGTTTGTGTATCTTGGTCATCATTCCAATAAAATTCATAGTTTGAGCCACTGATAAAACTTATTTTAAACGTAGTTATCTGGCCCAAAAGCGTAGGCCCGTCATTAACAAGTTGTAAACCAGTCAAATATTCTTGTACACAGACTATCTTGCTTTGGTTTTGAGATGTACTGTTACTTATTATTAAAACTTGGACTGTAAATGGACCTGGAGTATTATAAGCATGACTTACAGACTTGTTTGACGTTTGTAAACTGGTTCCATCCCCAAATATCCATTCAATTGAATACTGAATATTTTCAAAAGCTGATATGACAGCAAGGAATTGGACAGATTCATGCACTCGTGAACAATTTGGCAATAAAATATTTTCTAAAATGATCATTTCATTTAAACTTTGTACAGAATGCAGCTCATTTAAAAAATAAATATTGTACTGGACTGTTACATTGATAGTAAAAACATCTTTGGTATGAAAAGAATGGCTCTCAATTAGATCACTGTCCTCTGACTTCAAAGTAAATGTGGCCACTTTCAGCATTGTGTTGTCTCCAAAATCCCATGTAACGGTTACTGGTGTACCCACAATACCTTTTAAACTCAATGAAAAATTAGTCTGTTGTCCAATGAGGACAAATTTGGCTGCAGAAGTGAATAACAACTGCCAAGTGTTCTTCACTGTAACATTTATTGTTTCAGAAATGCCTGCCATGAACAGAGTGATAGTGTGAGTTCCTTCTGTGTGGAAAGTGTATCTTAATTGTCTGTTATTGTCCTGGTCTTGCAGGTTTCCGTCAACTAACCACTGAAGATCAAACGAACAGCTGCTGGAGAAATTGACAAAGAATATAACTTCACTATCTTTGTAAATCTCATTTAATTCTGGTTGAGAGGACAACATCAAATTTACACTATCCTCTACAACTACCACAGTTTGATTGACTACTTTCTGTTCAATCTCATTAAAAGCTACAACACTGAGTGTGTATGTGCTGCATGGCTGGAAGACAAAGTTTATTACTGCAACAGACATGTCAGAGTTCTGCATCAGTTCATTGCAAATTGAAAATTCATTTGCAAGTTCATCAGGACATTGTCTTGAAAAATCAACCTGATCAAAATAAGTTATATTGTCAGTAGTGGAATGTATCGTCCAATTTGATGATAATAATGAGCCAGTAGTCACCACTGCAATCAATGGCACCATTCCACTTGAAAGAGTATCTGTACTGGGATTGACAATCTGCAGATCTTGAATTGTGTCCTCTAAACTGACAGTGCAGTTGAGAGATGTCTGACTAATTGGACTGCTCAGTTCCACCTGATAAGAATATAAACCAGCAGCCAGTGTTTTGATAATAGGTGGGTTTACAACTCCCGGCTTAGTGTACAGAACTCTAAATAAGCAAGTGCCTGAGGTTTTATTTTCCAATGGGATTGGCACATCATCACCGAGTGAAAGCCATGAGGTTGTGAAAGTGTGGTAGAAGCTATCTGTAGATGTGTCTGCCACTGATGAGCATTTAATAAATTCACTATCTTGTTGAAAACCAATGATGTCATACTTCTGAACTTTGATCTCTGTATGTGGAAGAACTTGATTGAGTGTGGCTTGAGTGGATGTTGATATAATGGCTGTTTCTGATATAAGTTTATACAGAGGTTCATTGCTGTGTGTATAACTCTTTTCAGAGGAGGAGGAAGCAGAATCATCAACATCCTCATCTTCACAAGTAAAGAATGATGAACACGATTCACAGCACCCTGTAGAGAAAAGAATGCACAAGTACAGTATTAGTAGATACAGGTATATGCCAATCAGTTTTTGGCAAGAATGAAAATGGTGTCCCTTTTCAATTCAGCTCTTGTTCTGAGCTTCTTGTTGTGGTTAACTTTATAGATATCTTCGCAATTTTGAAGCTTAAGCGATATACAGTAGAAGTCCTCAATTACGTACGGCACAGGCCCAAAGCCGTTCATAATTGCGGGTATTCGTAAAATCAGGGTTGACCCAAATTCCTATATATTACACTGGCATAAATTAGGCCTAGGCTAGGCCCACAGGCCTACGCAGCTAAGTTTGAGGTGGTCTAGGCCTACAGTAGACAGTTTCTAAGCATCTGATCCCACTCTAGGCCCCAGACAAATTTGTTTTTAATCGGATGTTTTTACCTTCTTAAATACCTAGATTGTGGATTTTACTCCCAACATAACTAACATAGATACTTGTTTATTATATATACTGATCATTCAATAAAACAATCAAGCACTATTTTATGTTGACTTTTAAAGCTGAAAACGATGATTAAAAGAGAAGTAAAATTTGTCGCATGCACATGTGTGAAGCCATGATAAACAGTGAATTTGAAGAGGCCCATTAGATGGCCTCCTTGAGAATTACATAGTACTGTATAGTATGGTATGTTGTGTTGTATACATGCTAATAACAGACTATTCAAGCGAATTTTTCTTCTTTTTTTTATTTTTCACTCGCTTTTCACTTTACTTTTTATGACGTCATAACCTTGATTTTACGTTCGTAAAATCAGGCATTTGTTAAATCGGGGTTCGTAATTGAGGATTTCTACTGTACTATTGGTTGAGACTCATTTTGGCGCCTCCTCTATTTCAGCATCCCGGGCATTTTGGGGCCACCTTTATGTCTGAACCCCTGTAGTTAAACTTCTGATTACCAATCAAAACATTGCTGACAACTTAAAATTGTATGTCTTCCATTTGTATAAAAGAACATTTTTAGAGTAGGAATTGATTGGTTTCCCAAACTTAAGGTTTCAATCCATTTCATTTTTGTACTCTAATAGCAAGGCACTTTTCTACAATGCTTCATTCTACATTGCTTCAGTCTACCCAGCGGCGCCAATAGGTACCAGCTGAGAATTGTGTGTCATGGACTAACATCCCATCTGCGGGAGTATCCAACCCTCATTGCTTCAGGCAATTTTCTGTCTGGTCAATTATTCATTATGATTGATACTCTAGAAAGTTTATTTCCTTGTTTCTGACACAAAAACTCACCTAGTGGGATTGGATCTATTGGACTCACCTGGTGGTATTGGCACCTGGTTAGCACCACATGTAGGCCTGAAAACCTGTAAGTGCACATGTATTTCTGGAGCAGACTCAACACTTATAAATTCCCATGATGATAAAACAGCATTTTCTTTAAAGTACTGAGTTGGAAATAAAACTAACATAGGGGTAGAAGAAGCATGTGCTGATATAGAAACAGGATCAAGTGTTGAGAGATGCGGATAATAACCAAAGGCATCTATACCAAGAACATGTGAAGGTATATTTTCAACTGAAAAAGAAAAGAATAAAATTTGTGATACAATATGTAATAGTAATAAATAATATTACATTTAAATATATCTATAGTAAACTTGCATAATATAAGTTAATATTACATTATAATTAATAATAAAAATAATAACATGTGAATGTATATTTTTATATTTAAGACGATATCTGCTGGGTGTACTTGCTATTATGACTGTTTTTTCATCTTTTGTTTTTTTTTTAATTCATTTTTTTTTTCTTTCTTGTACTATATTTTGGGGTTGCCAAACATTGTATAGGAACCCTGTCCCTCCTGGCTTCTCACTTCTTCTGTTATTTGTTTTTGAGGAAATTAAAATATTATTAATATTATTGTTATATTATTTTCACCTGGAAAAAACAGAAATATTTTTTTTATTAACACACAATAATAAATGCATATTGTTACATAATAAATATAACTATGAATTGCATATTATAAGTTAATAATACATAATTATAATGAAAATAATAATGATGGTACTAATAATATTAATAATAATAGTAATAATAATAATAAACAATAATAATAAACAATAATAATAATAATAATAATAATAATAATAATAATAATAATAATAATAAAAAGAAAATAAATATATATACAAATGTACCAGTAGCTTGTTGGTACTAATATCTCAGTAGAGTAGAATGTTAGAAGCTGTATCAACTGAAAAAGTACCTTGCTGATAGAGCGTGGGATTGGACAGTGCGAAATTCAAGTGCCAAAAAGTAAATCCTTGCCAAGACATGGGGCTCATAGAGCTGGAGCTTATCCCCGGTTTCTGTATCGTGAAGTGGATAAGAGTGTGATACATGCATGGGTGGGATGCTGGTCCACTCCCAGCAATCTGCTAGTACCCTTTGATACAGCTGGGTAGACCGAACTAATGTAGATATTAGTGCCTTGATCCAGGACACTGCATCAACAAGTGCTAAACAAAGTCAGGCTACAAAATTTCCTCCAGTTTTTAAAAATCAGTTTTACAATCAAAACATTTTTTCCCTCAGGAGTCTAACTTCACAGTTAAAAACTCGAATCTCAACTGGTGTACCATCAACCCCCTACAGATCAAAATTTAGCAAATTTGGGAATGTATATGTTCAAGAGTTTATGCTAGTCTGTACTCTACCTGTTTCAATAATTGAATGGTCTGGTAGCATCCACTTGGCTATAATCTGACTGCCACCAGTAACTGTCAAGTTAACCTGCGGAAAGCTTGAAGAGGATGGATCAGATGGACATGATAAGTAGCCATCGACTGGATGCAGCACCTCGATCTCTGCAGTTCCTGTTTGGTTTTTTCCACTAACATTTAAAATGGCTTTTATGGTATAGTTTCCCGGTGCACCATATTTGTACAAAATCGATGATGGACCAGAAAATACTTGTCCATCACCGGTTTCCCAGTTGAAGACTGCAGATGTTTTGATATACGTGATGGCATTAATATCAACAGTGTCAAAGATGTTACCGTATTTGTCAACACTCAGGTATATATCATACAAATAAAAAGCGCCCTCTACAACTGTCATGTTGCATACACTGTTGACATTAGTGCATGCATCAGCACATTCCGCAGTACTCCTACCATCGTCAGTTTGTCCACATATACAGGTATGCGTTTCATAAATAGCAGTGTAGGTGTATTTCTCATCAAAACAGAATTCTGCACACAGCTCGGTATTATATTCCTTGTATTCGTGCCATGCATAGTATAGGACCAAATGTGGTTGTCCATCAACAGCAACACAACTCATCAAGTTTTCAACTATGAATATGAAAAAAACTAAATGATATTATTCATATGTTCATATTCATCTGTATGTGTTAACAAAGGTAACTGAAATAATGACGACAATTATAAACACAAAAATAATATTGATTACTTTAGTTTAATGCACATAATAGAGGATGATTAATGACTATGCTGATCAAAGACAAATGATGATAATGATGTTAATAATAAAAAAATAATGTTGATAATGTAAAACACTTTAATGATGAAACCAAAAACAGTGCATATAAAAACTAATTTTTCTATTCAAAAAATGTATTCATCAATTTCTACAAAGAATACAAATATTTCAAAAGATATGTAACAAATTATAATATGACAAAGTGATATATAAATATAACAAAGTGAAATTGTAAATACACATCACATTTTTGAAATAATATATACAATACATTATATAACTCACCAAATTCAAAGTCCACATCTAGTAATTTTAGGTTTTTCAGGGAATCTGGTTCTGCACAGATGATGTCATCATAGTCAATTGATACGTTGTTCTTTCGCTGCTCAACCAACCAATCACGAAGCCAAGTAAGGCGAGAATTGCATATCCACTTGCTCCCTGATAAAGTTCTTTAACCAGAATAATGAACAGAATATAAAATATAGCACTAGCTATAGTTACAAAGTATAAGAATAGTATAAGAAAAGTCAATAATAATAATAATAATAACAATAATAATAATAATAATAATAATAATAATAATATATTTATTTTGCAATTGTCAAGAACAATTTCAGCCTGGAGTGAGAATAGGCACAAGCCCAACAGATACTGCATTCACTCCACCACAGAAATGCAACTATATAATATTTGAAAAGAAGAAATGTATCAAATATGTGCTGAGATGAAATGAACTACTGACAGAAACAATTGAAGGAGGCATAGAAGGAAAGTGACCTCTGAACTGAACTGAACTTTATTGGAACACTTTTGTATCAGTGGCACACACCATCTGGTGGTGCTTCCAAATAACAAGCAACATTTCACAAAACACAAAGAAAAGACAAAAAACAATCAAATATCTAAAAACGAATCAAAATGATAGAAAGTAAATATTAATTAGGAAAATGGAAGGAATATTCCATGACAAAGAGATGGGCTGCCAAATATACAAGGCGGAGCCTAGCCGAATAGAGCAGTAAAGTTTCAGTAAATTACTCAATTACACTCAGTACTGTTGGTCTTAAATTTAAAACACACCTAAAAGAAGGTCCTTGTCATTTGAAGAATTACCATAACTACCAAAAGTAATAAAAATTTGTTTCTTCCTTTCCTTCTCCTTTCTTTTCCTTTTCTCTTTCTTCTTCTTTTTTTCCTCCCCGCCCTTCTTTTTTTGAAACAATTCAAACGACAAAGATAAATTTAGGTGTGTAATAAAATAATAAATAAAGATAACAATAAATAAAGACCTCAAAGAACAGTGTTCTCTCAATTGAAAAAATTTTACTGATAAATTTTTCCATAAAAATTCAGCTATGAACATAGTGTGTGGCATTATCCCTTTTGAGTGGGGTTTAATGACTTGAAAAAACAACAACACATATAGTCATTGCCTAGGTATAGACTGGAATGATGTTCATTTATTGAAAGAAGGCCAGCCTAAACTACCTAGGCCTAATCAGTGGTTTTATTACAATCTCGAAATTTTTACTGGTTGGCCAGTTATTTTTTCCAGTAAAATTGACAGCTAAAACAGCTTTAGCAGAACACTGTAGAAAAAAACGAGTGATGATGTTACAGTAGATGACATGAAAAAATAAAGGATGCGAGGAGTATGCAGACTTGAAAGAAAGAGCAAAGATCTCTGGAGGTATTAAATTCTAACCAGTCAGAAGACAGAAAAACGTAGACAATGATGATGATGATAGAGAATAAAGGTAAAGCGAATGACCCATAACTTGCAGCGTCATTGTGCAGAATTGCGTATGGGCGTGGTCTGTGAATACCTAGCAGCCATACAGAGGCGCTTTGTGACAAGTTCACACCATTCCACTACGACAGGGGCTGAAATGAACCATCACATCAGGGTAACCCCCTACTCTTCCAAACTGGGAGCTGGAACCAGCGCCGATGTTAAGGCTGTAGCTAGCGGCGCCCCTGCTTACCACTCTGCCAATGATGATGATGATGAATATGATGCTGATAAATGATTTTCATCAATTTATTTAAATTAAGAACAACTTACATTTTACTGAGAGTTCCAAGATTATGAAAGATGCCGTAAGGTAGATTTGATAAAGAATTGAACTGCAGGTTGCTAGAAAAGAAAAACAAAATTAATTTCATATTGTCAAATGAGACATATCTGATAAATAAATCCTGTCTTTCAAGGGTATTCATTATATTAGATAGACAATGGAATTAAAGGTATGAAAAAAAAAGACTTACATTTCATAAATTGAATGTAAATTTGCAAAGACAGATTCAGGTAGCTGTTGTATTGCATTAGAACTCAGATGCCTATGAAGAAAAGGTAGGATTGAATTTTTAAACATGGTCATTAACAAATTCCAAAAAAAATTGTTAAGGTATAATATGAATTGTTTTAGCTTTTGATCATGTTATATGCACATATCTTATATGAAATTAAAAAATATACAATGGTTAAACCTTAATTATTCAAATATATTAAGAATCAAAGAGTAGAATAAAACAATACTTACAAGGTTTGTAAAGATGAAAAATTTGAAAGACTTTCAGGATGCAAGTTAGTTATATAATTGTTGCTCAAGTCCCTGAAAGACAAAATTGATAAATTGAAGTGAAAATTTTTTCTTTATTTTATCCGTAAAGTAAACTACTCTTTTTGAGGGTTAGAAAGTGGAATAGTTTTAGTCATAAGAAAAAGTCCTACTCAGGGGTTTATTTAAGAATTTGAGTAGCAGGAGAAATTTGAAAGTAACAGGAGAGTAAATTGAAATCGGCCGGGGGTATAGGGGGGGCCGCCTAGGCCCCCATCGCGGTCGAATGCACCTCGCGGTCCAGGGGCAGAGCCCTGGTCGGGGGGTCAAGGGGGCGGAAGCGCCATTGCGCTCCAGGGTTTTAGAGTTTTTTAAGCCCATTTGATGGCATTTCTCTACATCATTTTTTTTTTAAACAGTTTTTCAGAATCAATTACTGAGCTCTAAAAAAGTTGATATTTTTACATATTCTTCATACATAGGCCTACCTAGCCTAAATACTGTAAACCAGAAACTTTCGCGAATTTGATAATTTTGGCCGTTTTCGCGACATTAAACTTTCGCGAATCTCAAAAAGCCTAAATTTAATTCATGAGAGGAGTATCATACAATAGCTGAAAATATCGTATCGTGAGTTTAGGCCTAGGTTAGATAGGCCTACAGCCACTGTGTAGGCTACAGTATCTAGAAGCCTGCCAGGACTTCAAACACATTGATTGATGATGATTGAACGTCGTGGTATGCAGGCCCGTAGCCAGCATGCTTCAAGGGAGGGTTCTGGGCGTGGAGTCCAAGGGTCCGCCAAAGGGCCCCGGGTGGGGTCAAGGGGGGCGCTAAGCCCCTGTGGGGGCCGGGGGCGAAGCCCCCGAAGCCAGAGCATTTATACGATTTTAAAAGCAT